CCATAGCAGATTCGCTCTGTGGGCGGCCGCGACCCATCACACGCCTCATCTTCGGTCATTCACCAAAGACTCCTTTCATCTACCTCGTGTGGACTCTTTTGCATTCACAAATTGCAAAGGATCAGATTCCATACTGTTGCTTCAGTGGCTGGAGGTGGAACTTCGACTTTTGAAAAGGCAAGGAAATCAAGAGCATCAAGCAGACATGGACCTTGTGCAAGCCTTGATCCAAGTGTGTGGATCGAGCTTGGGGATTTTCCGCCTTCTCTATTCTCATGGACTGTGGCTGCCTAGACAGTGCATGAAGAAGCTACGTGACGAAATTCTCCGTGTCACTCGAGGGTACAACTACATTGCCAAAGGATGCCTTGAGCGAGGTGTCCCAGGTTTTGCATTGAAGTCAACGATACATTCAATGCACCATTTCGCGATCGACTTGGAAATTGCGCTCCAGAACTCTGCACCCTGTTATCCCAATTTTTTGATGCAAGAGTGCAGCCAGTGTGAGGACTTCATTGGAAGAATTGCCCGTGTCGCTCGTGCTACACATTCAAGAACTACGGCTGCACGGTGCCTGCAACGGCATCTGGTGAAAACCAAAATGCTCTTGAAGAAGCGTTCAAAGAAAGGCAGCTGAGATCTCGGCATGGTGCTTGAAAAGTCGAGCTGGAGAATGGTGTCTATTGAGCCGAAATTGCCTACATTATCCTATACATGTCCCCGCAACCCCTCAAACTCTTCAATGATGATCTTGCAAAACCTTCAAACCTATGTAACCCTACCCAGGTAAACTCCCAGGCCCTTCCATCAAGGCTCAACATCTTTTCAGGGCATTCAGGGGTATATAAGTTGTTAGAATGCAAGAACGATGTGGTTGTGGACTTTGGGGTGTGGCTATTCTTGGTCTGGTTGTGGCTATTATTGTTTTGGTGTGGCCATTCCTGATCGGGTGGGCTGTTTGCCACGAAAAGGGCTGATTTAGCGCACTGTGGCTACTATTTGTTGTTGTTTGGGGTGTGGCTGAAATAGCGCGCACACAGAGGGTCCAGGTAAGGTCTAGGGTTTAGGTTTGAAAATCCTGCGTCCCTATAAGTAAGAGTCCAACACAAACGAAATCATATTTAGAGAATTTAGGGCCCAGTGTCGGTATTATTTGTATTCTTGGATCCCTAAGCCCTAAACCCTAACATAGGTGTTATATTCATACTTGGATTCCAAGGGTTTGTTAGGGTATAGTCCCCCTTAAGTAGATAGAATATGGGAATCTTGTTATAATACATATAACCAAAGCCATATTCTATCTACTTAAAGGGGGACTATAGCTTATAGACAAGGCACAGCCCTTAGGCAAGCCCACAGCGTCTTACCATCTACGTCATGTTCCAGTTGAAGCCCATCAACGTATGACCCAGAAGGTTAAGGTTTAGAGTTTAGGGTTTAGGGAAGAGGGTCCAAGTACCCAATAACTGGGTACTTGGGATTTGGGGAAAGCTATTATAGTACAGGTTTGGGGTAAGTATAGGAGTGCTGGGTACTTGGACCCTTAGGGTACATAGCTTGCGACACAAGCTTCCTAGATTACCACAGCAATCTCTGGATGTCACTTAGGCTTCTATGGCCCACGCTGGGATGAGGAGCACGTAGACGTCCACAATCTTAACCTCGTTTGTGAATGCATGGATGTTGTTGGTTCAGGCTTGTGTGGACAAATAGGGGCCCCAGGTTCTCGGGAAGGATATGCGGGCCGTGGATTGATGACTAAATCCTAAACCTTAAATCCTAAACCCAGAAAATCACCAGGCCTGGTCCTAAGTCAGCTGAACCAACTCTTCCCGACAAAGTTTTGCAGGCATCTTTTATGGCTATAGTTTACAAAGGCCTGAACCATAAGCAGTAGACGCTACATGCCCCGAAGTCCCTATACCCTCCATACCCTAAGCCGTTTAGGGGGCCCAGTAGGGGCCACTTTGATCCGAATAGGGTTGTGAAGGCATAGTACTCGGGATAAGACGGGCACTTCTACTGGCTTCTACTCTCAGGCTAGGTTCAGTATAGGTTAGCACAACTTTCAGTCCCTAAACCCTACCTGGACCCCAAAAGTATGTAAAATGATGGCCTTTATGGCTACTATTATGGGTTTAGGGCTATTATCTTACATACTTTTGGGGCTTAGGTAAACATCCTAAAAGCTAAATCCTATAAAGCCGCAAAGTTGGGTGCAGCCTCCCTGTCAGCTCTGCTGGGTTGTTGGTGTAGGGTTCAGACACGGTTTCGGGTTTACAGTTTCGGGCTTGGGGCATTGTAAGGTTCAAAAGCCCAAGAACTTTGGTATCCGTTCCCCATAAAGAGCCAGAGAAAATCCTATTCACTAGCCTTCAGTCCTTACACCTTAAACATTGAACGCCAAAGATCTCCCCGTGCAACCTAATGTAACAGCCTGAAAAGCTGCCACGGCTAAACTCTGGTACCTGTGTAAAACCATAGAACAAATGCCCCCCAAAATCCTATCATTTCCTGTTCCATGTCCTTCTCCATTTGATGCTTCATTATTCTCATTTTTAAGCCTCTACACTACACCCGAGACCCTCAAACATAGGCGAGACACCAGAAGCCCGCCGAAAAGTGCTCCAGCAAGCGTACCAACCTCGGGAAAACGCTGAGAACGCAGCATATCTTTACGTATATGTATTTGCGTATGCTTAGGACAGCGTGTGTACATATGTATATACCTATATTGTGTGCATCTCTTCATATGCACATCTGCACATGCGTGTAAAAACACATATATAAGCACATGCTCGCGTCCATGTCCATAATCAGGGGGCCGCAGTATAGATCCCAATGTGCGATCGTCCTCATTTAAGGGACCGCCAAACAGGAACTGCTTGTTGGAAATGTCCAGATCAACCCAAACGTCGACTTTGAAAAGCCCAGTAGCAAGAACTCAATACGTAAGGGTAAAATTACCAGAGATTTGAGTACTTGGGGTTTGGACAGAAATGATTGTAGTACAAGCTTTGGGAAACTGTATGATGGTTGTTTGCTAGGTTCCGTAACTCTAGATGCGTATATGTCCCTACATATCCTTACACTTCCTTCTACAGAAACGTCTACACAGAAAAATCGGGACCTGGTTTGGGGTCCAGATTCTGCACCAAAGCGCCCTGCTCACAAGCCGCCCCTGAGTTCCCTGGTCAGCATCAGATCAATCACCACTATAGCTCCCCACACCCTAAAGGCTAAATCTTGAATCCTGACAATACCCAAAAAACTAAAACGTATAACCTACACCCTAAGCCGGACAAGCTTTTTTAAAACCACTGCAACGCTAAAATTCAATGAAGCTCTGAACTCTGAAGCCTCAATTTGCAGAATTATAAGATTTTCCCTTACATTAAACTATATTACATTACATTCTGTTGTATGTTATATATTATACTGCTATAGTATATTATGACATATTATATTGTATTATATTCCACTATCTTATAGTACACTATATCACATTAAACTACATTACATTATACTATACTGTATAATAAAAAAAAAAAACATTATTGCAGCATGGGCGCTACGACCAACATACTCTGTGCAGCTTTCCAGCCATCCTCTGCTTTCACACTGCCGTTGACCTTTGTTTAAGGGTTTAGGGATTTAAGGGTCTAGGGGTCTATGGTTTAGAGGTTTAGGGATATAAGGGTTTAGGGATTTAGGGTTTGGGGGTTAAGGGTTTAGGGGTTTAGGGGTTTAGGGTTTGGGGCTTAAGGGTTGGGGGATTCAAGGGTTTTAGGGTTCAGAGTTTGGGTTTGGGGGTTAAGGGTTTAGGGTTTAGGGTCCAGGATTTAAGGTGGGTTCTCTTGAAATGGGGGGGGGGACCCTTAGGCCCTTTCAAGCGTGATACACTTACTGACTGATTGTTAGTGGAAGGGAAAATAGCCTATATAATCTCTATATATACGTATTCCCCACCAATCCCTATATAATCCCAGTATAGTAATCTATTAACTTATTTCCTACTACTCCCTAGGAAGTACTAGGGAGGTATAGGTTTAAGGTTTTGAAGGGTAAGGTATGCTGAGGGCACAGGGATGGGAACTGGGGTTTGGGGCTGAAGGCTTCTCGAAGCGGCACCCTTGTTGGGGCAACCCTGAGATATGTATGTGTGTTTGTGTCTGTGTGTATACATGTATGTATATACATATATATATATAAGTATGTGCCCAGTGTGCCAAGGAGTGTGTATCTACAGAGGTGTACTGATTACTAGGAGATTTGGGGGGGTCTCCTTCGGGGAGAGAGAACCCTAACATGAGTTTGGGCTGCGCACATGTATACCATTTCAATACTTGCATGTTTAGGGATGCTTCCCTTAAACCCTACACCCTAAAGTCCCCACTTCCAGGGGCTGGGAGAGCCATACTTATACTCTGGGGAGACTTATACTGCCCCTTAAGTAGATAGAATATGAGGTATATGGGGATCTTATTATAATATACCCACAGCCATCTTCTATCTACTTAAGGGGGGCTATAGGAAGAAGCGTTGAGGGCTTAGGGGCGAGGACGCAGTAAGCAGGTTAAGTCAAAGGGATATCTGAGGCTATTGTATGGCCAATAGAGGCTATGAGTATACTTACTAAGACCCGCCTTAACCCGAAACCCGATACCCTCCCTCCAACGTTCCAAGTGATGAATGCGGAATCTGAGCTCATCGGACCTTCTTCTGGGTTGCTGCTCAGGAGCCTGAACTAAGTAACAATAATGAGGATATATGAACTATACTCTAAACTCCTAGTACCCCCTTAAACAAGCCCTATAGTCCCCCCCATGTAATCCTGTATTTAAGCCCCTTTCAGGTTTTTCACTATAGCTCATATGGGTTCCTAGCTGGTCACGCGGTCGTATTGGCGCGTGGTGTTTGGGGTCACATGGCTTCTGGTGAGAATGTCCGAGTCCTATAAAAAAGCAACATGTGCCAGTGTTCTGAGAGTTGCATGGTTGGAAAGGGCTACTTGAGAGCTTGTACAATGTCATGTTCTAAAACTTGGGTCGTGTCGGATGTAGGAGATTTTGGCCAAGTCCTTGGCGAAGTTTGCCTTTTTGGGCAACTGGGAGCGCGAGATGTACCTATACAAATACATGGCATTGTACAAGCTTATGACTAACCCTTGCCAACCGTGCAACCCTCCGAACCCTGGCAATCCCGGCTTTTTTATAAGACTGGAACATTCTCACCAAGCCCGGGCCCCAAACACCACAGGCCAATACGACCGGAATCAAGTTAACATGTCAGAATTATCACCACCCCCTCCCCCCTCCCCCCAAACCCTCACGAAAACCCACGGTCCAACACGCACGTCCCTCGTCCTAACTACGTATTAGCTCATTTAAATTTTCTGTGCAAGTCGGACGGGTCCACAACACCAAGGATAAGCTAGTGCAATTGTCATAAAGAGTTTAGGGTTTGGGGTAAAACCAGTACAAGCCCTGGAATGCTATAATCCTCATTATGGGCTGCCCCAAAGAAGAACCCCCATTTTTTGGAAAGCCTCATGTGGGAACCTCACCATGACTTCACAAACCCAATTGTGAGACTACCCATTCACCGGATTCCCAGCAACTAAGGTTCCCATTACACACTCCCAAAACATTCTAAAGGATTTTGGGTTTAGGTCTTGACAACTCCTAGCATACAGACCCCCCTCAAAAGATCCTAAGCCCTAAATTTGACTGTGCAACACCACGCGGCTATGCAGCTGGAAATGAAATTTGCCAAACTCAAGACCTGGGCACTGCAGCTGGGACGCTTGGCGCATTGTCGGGTATTGCTCAGGAGCCAGGTGCTTCTGATGGTTGAGGGTTAAGGGTTTAGTGCTTGGGGTTTGGAATGTTTTGTTAGAGTCGAGGGTTCAGGCTTAAAGGTGCCAGTTTCGGGGAAGTACAGAGTTCTAGGGCATTGGCACTTAGGTGGCGTTTTTTGGTGGTCGTTGAACCTAGTAAGATCATATTCCTTATATAAAATACTATACCCTAAAAGGAAGATAGAATCTTACTCTATAATGGGTACCATAGTATCCCCAAATAAAATACCGCTCACTTGGAGGCTAGGGCAAGGGCTTAGGGTGTAAAAGATTCGGCTTTTCAGCCTGGTTGGGCTCAAATACCTATCTACCTCAAGCATGCGGTCTCTTGGGCCTCAACCATGAAGCGCACCATGGGCCCCTTCTACCAACTTCAACCATTCACCCTACTACCTAAACCCTAAACTCATAACCCCTGTGCCTGCAACCCTGGCCAGGCACCCTCAGCCCACAGGAGTCTTGAACTTGGACCCTTTAAGGATCCGCAGTCTGCAAAAAGTGAAGAGGGCTTCTTGTGGCAGGGACCTTTCGTATTCAGAGGGCCGAAAATGGTGACCCCAACCTCCAGCATGCAAAGGGAAAGGTGATGCCTCCATGCAGGAGCCCTAAACCCTAAAGCCCTAAACTGAAAGGGTGGGCTGTAGGGCTTACCTTAAACCCTTAACCTCTTCCAGCTTCAAAGTAGGCCACTAATGTGGGTCCTTAGCCTTCTTGAACGGGTCTCCAGAAAAATCCTTGGGGGTTAAGATTTAGAGTATCTGTAGGCTATAAACTAGATATATGAGTGCCGGACTAAATCTCTTATGTGGCGTAGAAGTCATCAGACTTAGGGTTGGCCCCTATCGGTTTTCAGCGTTTTGAACCTTCATTACACTCCGTGATTGTTGAACTAGCAGTGCCTCTTTCCATACTTCCACAAACTTCTTTACTTAGCGGGCCTCCCAATACTCAAGTTGATGTGGCCCAAAAACCAATTGAAATGAGAGTCCGTGGGTCAGAGTAGGCAGGTTAGGATACGAAAGCAGTTGCCAATATGAAGTACTCAGAAGGCACATCTGGGCATCTGGCTTCTTGGACCGTGAAACCATCATTTTGGGGTATCGGTCGGGTATCGGTAGGGCTATCGGTGGGGCTCAGCTACATTTGAGAAAATTTCAGGTTCATCATACCTGAAGGGCTTCACGTAAGGATATTTCAACGCGCCACTGCAATAATGGAGCTGCTTTCCCCTTATCTTTTACGGTCTCTGATGATGTTGTATGGCAACCTGCAGCTTGTGCTGTGAGGCACATTGGTTTCTTTTGCTTGGGAATTTTAGCATTATGATGATTTCTTCTGATTTCGTCTCTTCCCTTTATAAAGAAAGAGGAAATAATAAGAAGTTATAACTAACTATCTTGGGGGATCATATCCAAAAGGACAATCCAAACAATAGGGTTAACCCCTATCGGATTTCAGGGTTTTCGCTATATTGTGATAACGTCATGACCGTTCCCTTACTACTGTCCTTTTACATAGATTTAGTCTGCTACTCAATATGAGCCCTGGGGGGTGGGAGGGGGGGAAGGCTACAGCCGGAAGAGGCGAAGAGGCGCACAATTTTCACAACCCAGTTTAGGGTTTAGGGTTGCAGAGCCCCAGAAGTCACCCTAAACCTTACAACCTTAAGCCCTAAAACCCAGCAGGGGCAAAAGACCTGCAAATTTCCCGCGAGTGAGTGTTGATAGCAACTGTGCGCTCCTGCGCATTTCTCTGGTGCCTGATTTACTTACCTTTGGTTCGCTTGGGAATGAAGGAATGGAAAAGAAAATGGAAAGTACAGTACCATTTAGGGTTTAGGGTTTAGGGTTTAGGGGTTTAGGGGTTAGGGGTTTAGGGTTTAGGGTTGATATAGGGACTACTATAAGGATCCGTTCCTTCATTCCTAGCTAGCCAAAGGCCCATTTAAGCAGCACCTTAGGCTTGTAAGCACCCTTGGGGCTTCAAGTCTGTAAAGAATGCCTACATGTGACCCTGACGACTGCAAAGGTTCTACATATATGTATACACATATTCATATGTGTGTCTGATATACATATACGTATATATATATATTCACACACATATGAATATACCCTCCTGTTTTTTTAGCCCCAGGGCTCTGAATCTATAAGCAATACCTACATTGACCTACATGGTGCCTATTCTCTATAGATATTGCCCACATTTTGCCATCTGGAACCTCAGGGTATGTAGATAACAGCTACGATGATGCATCAGGAACCCAACCGACATTTCCCCCACAGAAACCTACACAATCCTTTAGAGGAACTCCAACCATCTGCTCATACTCTTCAGATATCCCTGGCTGTGGTTCCTACTTCAGGGCTAAGGGGAGATGGTAAGCAAGTTATCAACAGTGTTATGTGCAGACTAAAGTGGAAGCCTAAACCTTACTACCCAGAGATCCAAACCCTCAAACATCCACCACAAAGCCCAGGCCACGCGGCTAAGGGCTGACAGTCGAAGGGTTTCGGATTTATGGCAGGACACTAAACCCTAAACCCCTGAACCCCTAACCGTAAACCCGATTCTAAGAGCTCCAGGGCACAGCAATCGCCCAGTGCTGCTCAGATACATGGCCAGTGACCATCGTGGTGTGGGTTCCTAAGCGGCCAGTGCTGCAGGCAGAGGCTACCACGCCAAAGAGTAGCGCAACACCTTCAGGGTTTAGGGTTTAGGGTTTATGGTTTAAGTTTAGGGTTTAGGGGTTTAGGGGTTTAGGGTTTCGGGTTGGCGATTGACAAGGAAATGGAACAGAGTGCAGCATCAGTAAAATTATCGTTCTTCTGATGAATGTTGTTAATAGTGGTAGTTCTTTGTAGAGTTGTGGTTGTGGCGATTTTATGTGGTAGTTTAAACTTGCCATCCCAGCTTGAACGCTGTTAGGCATCCTTCATACTTTTGGAAAAGGTCTTTTATTCTTCCCGGGCTAACACCCCAAGAGTTCAGGGCAAGTACCTACACCACCTTATGTCCCAATTCTGTCCAAGGTAGCAGTTTTTGCCTGTCCCTGGATGCCACATCCCAGTCCCTAGACCCTATAGCCTCAACCCCAAATCCTTGAACCCTACTCCCTACGTCCTACTCCTTATCCCTATGTCCTGGATGCTCAATAATTAGAACCCAAACAGGACACTCCCAGAAACCTGCCTGCCACTGTCCAATCTTGGTAGATGTCTCCCTTGTCCATGTTCGGGCTGGTAAGAATCTCAACAGACTCAGCGATGACCACAATGGCGGCAAGGGGCACTGCAGCAATGCTGCTTCCTCTGTTTGGGAAGTAGTGCTCACAAAGGCGCTGCAGAATAGAGCCGGCAAAGAAGGACAAGCATATGAACCTGGGTTGCTGCTAAGGAACTTAAATTAAGTGACCATATTGGGTAGAGATATATATATATAGCAAAAGAAGGGGGTTTCCCCAATATAGTAACTTAAATCAAGTTCCTTAAAAGCAAGCCAGGAACACGTAGTACCACGGACCATGATCGCTAGCTGAAAGGTTGGTCATAACGGACTTGCCGAGCATGATGGCATTACCGGTCAGCATGCTCGCGAATGCCCGGTACCGTATTAGACCTGGTTCGCCGAGAAGAAGCCCTACCTAGACCTCCCAGAAACACCTAGTAACAGCCTACATACATATAGTGATTTGGGGCTTAGGGCGCTGTCATTATGGGTCTATGCAAGGTCTAGGTACGGTCCCACATAGCAAAGTAACAACTATCTGTTAGACTTTAGGGCCAATAGCAGGTACTGCAGATACACTGGGAGCATAATTGATTCCGAGCGTTGCTGTTCGCAGCTTTTGTGAGGAGGCAACGAAGCGAAAATAAACACTATACATACCAATTTCCCATTTGAGCTTCGATTTTTCCATGTGTTCTCCATCATTGGTATCTTGAAGCCGAAGCCCCCAAAACCTACATAACCGAACAAAAACAGTGTGTACAATTTGTAGCCCAGAAACTGACGATATCCGCATAACCGGTCACGAAAGCAAACATAGTGGCAATCCAGGTGTGCCTCTGCAATCATATGGCAATACCTGGATCCTGTATGTCCTACCTTTTTTGGGGTATACCCTACAAGTTTATGGGACACTATCCCCAAAAGGAAGGACATCCAGGGTCCAGGTATGGGTCCCTTTGAAGGGCTTATTGGCATACATGAGGATATTTCGGGACGAACAGGGATTCAGGGTGATTAGAGTTTGGGGTGCTCAGCAACTAGGAGTCCCTTCTTGGGGAGTTACCTGTAATGAATACAAAGTGAGTTGGGGTATATGAATGATCCCCCTTTGCATGGAAACTCACACCGTCATCTGCCTGAACTATACTAACAAACTTGAAAAAAGGTTTCTAACACTTGGGATCATCTAGTATATATAAGCCACAATTCAGTGTGAGCACTTCATAACTTGCCAAGAAATATGAGCTACAGTCCAAACTCCTAGTATCCCGCTTAATAACCCTATAGTACTCCCCCATATAATCTCCTCTATAGACCCCTTTAAGGAGCTTAGACTATAGTACATATGATTCCAGAATCCGAGGGGGTTGGAGCCTCTTCTGCGTAGTTCATGGTGTAATGACTTCCTGGACCCAGGATGTCCTACCTTTTGGGGGGTATACCCTAAAAAAAATGGGACATTACCCCCCCCTCCCCCCAAAAGGACGGACATCCAGGGTCCAGGTTTTTTTAATTTAAAAATGGCGGATCAAACGGGAAAGATAATGCAACATTAGATGCAAACTCAGCTTTATAGGGGGATGAGAATGTAGGGGCCCAAATAACTGCCAACACAATTTCGAGGTCTGTTTCATGTCCCTATTGCACAATCATACAATGAATCCGGAACAATCGTATTGGGAACTGCCTTGGTCCCTGCAGTATATCCTTCTTGTGAAGGGCTCCATGTTTTGGAGAAAAATCTGGAGAATCAGCAAAAATGAGCCCGGTCATCAGCAATTCCCGAAAACGAGATAATCGGACGGAGAAAACTCCCAAATCCCATACCCCGAGCCATGAGTCCCAAAAGCCCAAAGCCATCCTTGCAAGCTCCCTACACCTCAAGGGGCTGTCGGCTTGAACCTCAAGTGGAACCTAGAGCTTCAAGAACTACGGACCATATAGTAGCTATCCATATATGGGTTGTTCCCAAAATTAGGGTCCCATATTGGTACCCCTAAATACTGGGTGCCGTAACATAACCTATAACCACAAAGGGCCCATAATTTTGCGAACACCCCATATGATATCTATGGGCTATAGATTGTAATATGCTGGTTACCGTTTTAGTGTCGGCTGTTGGTTCCGATTTCCAATCCCTTGATCACACCTTATACCCTAAACCTTAAACCCTAAACCCCCCAATATTACCGCAATATTGCCCCTGAAGAAAAAGCCCAGGTGCTTGTGCCATCGCCATGCCTGTGGTTTTCACTGCAAGGTGCTGCTTCTAGACTGGATTGCTGTAAAGGAAAATAAATGAACTTAGTGTGTTGGAGAAAGCACATTAGTTACTATACCCACTATGGTAACTTAATCCAAGTTCCTTAACAGCAACCCAGTAGAAATATCCAGGAAGTCTGAAATCCCTTAGTTAGGGGATATACCCTAAAGTATACTAGAGTTCCTAATAAGATGTAAGGTGTATCCCCTAATTAAGGAATATTGAACTTTCTAGGTAAGTAGAAGGGATAAGGAAATGGAAGCTAATATCTCATTTAAGTCTATAGAGTTTACCTTAAGGCTCTTGGACCCCCATAATGGGATCCTAAACCTTAGCTCCCAACGCCCAAACCTTCCCCCAGAAGGCCCCCAATAGTCCTAGGAGCCTTAGGGTAGGATCAGGGCGTCTGGTTGTTGAACAGGTCGGGACATGGGTTGCGTACATAAAATTGCATAAAACATGGAAAATCAACTGAAACCTGGGCTTAGAGGGGTTGGTGTGGGCACTGTACGTAGGGGACCCATTGATATATGAGGATGATGCGAGGATGATCTTGGGAGATACTAGGCTTCTGCAAGTTGACCTGAGGAGCCACGTGCCCAATTATTACGTACTTGGGACTTGGCTACTTGCCAATTGTAGCACAAATTTGGGCCAATTACAGGAGCATTGGCCACTCAGAGCCTTAGGGTTAAGGGTTTAGTTTAGAGCAGTGAGCATCTTGCTTTGTTCAGGGGGTCATAATAGCCTAAGTAAAGAAACGCAACCCTTGGCATAACCCAGTTGCAATGTCTCTATGTCTGCTTAAGGCCCTCGACTTTCCAATGTTATGGCCACACCAGCCTTATCAGGCTATAGTATGTAGGCCCCTAGTATAACCCCAAGCCCAGCTTCCATGTAATTTTGCATTTTCCTTTAGATCCGTTCTTGATGTTTTGTCCCTTAAGCCCTAAACCTTCAATCCTAAGCTGAGACCTGAAACCGAAACCATCAATCCCAAACGCTAGACCCCAAACCCTAAGCCCTAAACCCGAACTCCTAAACCCTAGACCCTATAGTGGTTTCCATTTTCTTTTCCATTATCCCTATGAAGGCCCAGAGCAGCCCTAGGAGCCTTAGGGTAGACGCTAAACCCTACACGCCACCCGTCCCCAACCTCGCTCGAAACCATTCTTTGAAGGCGCGTGAGGTTTCTGGGGACTGGGAGTCTTTAAAATTTGGGAAATCTTGAGGTTTCCTGAGGATGAGGGTTTAGGGTGAAGTGTTTAGGGCATGATGGTACCTACTTCGGAAGCTGAAGCCTGTAAATCATGCGTACTTTCGGGCCCTACAGCCCACACATAGCATCTACTTTGGGATGGTGGGAGTCCAGTAGGGGGTAGGGACTCTATCCATAGATGGGGGTTCTACGAAATTGTTAGGAGCCCCTTAAGTGAGGATTCTGTAGGGGTCATGTTGGTACTTGGATTCTGAATCTTGGGCAAATAGCCGGCTGCGGCATGATGGATCCTGGGCCAAGCCAAAACACAAGTAGCGCTGAGTGTAACAATTAAGTTTGTGTCTGCGTGGGATGGAGAGCTTCTGAAAACCCAGCTCCCTCATCCATAGACCGTAGCCCATCTCGACTCGTTGGCCTGTTCTACATTTATGGGATTGAGGAGCTTGCAAAACAAGGGGAGTGAAATATGTGGGGTTTCTCAGGTCATTGTTGGTGTTTCCTTCTTGGATTACTGCGCACAAACAAGCATGCAGAATGCCAAACATACCCGTGATCCTACATCCCTTAAACCTTAAACCCAAAATCCTGCGCGAAGAGCTACTTGGAGGTCCAGGGCAAAAGGGTTTGGGGTTTTTGGTTTAGGGTTTAGGGTTTACGCAGGGTTTAGGGTTTGGTTCTAGGATTGGGGTTGTCAAAGCTCTTTTGCTATACTCAGCAAAGAAATTACAGCCCAAGCAGAAATCACAAGCACACTTATCCTCTATGTAATTAATTGCTAGTTTTGAAAATAGGGGGAACCTAATCAATATGGAACCCAGTATACTATAATCCGTATTATAGGTACCCCCAAACGGGAACCTGATTTCGAAAGGCCTAATTACTGGGTTCTACATACAAGTACTCATCAAGTTCAACTTCCCCTGACATGCAGGCGAAGATATGTGAAGTTTCGCATTCACGCACATTTTCCGACCCAAGAAACGATGCACGAGACAGCAAGCTGTGAAACCACTACGGGCTGGGCTTAAATCCAGCGTTTCCATCAGGAAAAACCTTACAGTTGTTCATTGTCTAGCTTTACTACGACTCCGCGAAGGCTTTTGTAACTCCTGCGCATAGAAAACAACAAGCAAACGCGCAGCAGATTGCTTTCAGCATCCGAAATGCCACCGATGGAGGTACGAGCGTATTGACCGCGAAGCTACGACTCTGGAAAGGTGCCGAAGGTCGATGTCCCCGGCTTAGGATTTATAGTCCCCCTTAAGTAGATAGAATACGGCTTTGGGTATATTACAATAAGATACCCATATACCCCATATTCTATCTACTTCCTGCAAGAGGGACTATAAGGGTTTAAGGGGGTTTAGGGCATCAGCCGACAGCAACCATTAACTTCCAAGATCTGAACTGCGGGGTACTGGCGCTAAAACATAAACCTCGAGAGAGAAATTCTGGCCCTTCCAGGGGCATCAAGAGTTCAGGATTCTTTCTGAGTAGCCGGCACTTAACAAGTCTTAGTAAGCCCATATAAACCACAGAGCAACCCTGAAAGAAACCTACTTGCCAAGTATCCTGACTCCCCAAAAAGCCTGAACCCTATCATGTCCTACTGCTGGGGGAGCTGTCATTCAAGTTGAAAGTCTCCGAATCGCTATCCTGCAGGCGAGATTTTGGGGTTTGGACTTTCAAGGTGGTTACTTGAAAGCTCAGAGGGCTTGGTAAGCAGGTTATAAATGCCGGGCCCTGGATGTCCTACCTTTTTTTGGTGTATACCCGACAAATTCATGGGACATAACCCGAAAAAGGAAGGACATCCAGGGTCCACGTAGATCATAAGCCCAGCAATCAGAGTTAGTCTGCTCATTTTTGTATTTGGGCCCTAAAGCCCTATTATTTGGGTCCTTGGACCCTTAGGGTTGGGGTTCAGGGTACAAGGGGCCTAGGCCCTGATAGGTTTTAGGGTGGAGAGGTTGGGATTCGTAGTGGACCACCTGTTGCAAGCCGAGGCTTGACGCTACCAGCGTTTACCTCAACGACCGCTGCTGGTTGCGGGAAGCCCCCGTAGAACCGCGGGACGCTCAATACTGTTGATACCCCTAAGGGTCCAAGGACCCAAATAATAGGGTTTTAGGGCCCAACTACTATAATATAAATGGTATTTGGGCCCTAAAACCCCATTATTTGGGTCCTTGGACCCTTTGGATACTAGAAATTTTGCATGACCCTAGTAGACTATAGTACCAGAATTCCCAAGGTTTACGGTACTTAAGGTCATGCAGGATTTTTAGTATCCACCGTAGGATTATAGATACCCTTAAATACATTGGGACTTATTTCACTTGTTGCCATACTGTACACGTCAAGCTCCTGTAAACCTGGGGAAAGTAGGTACTGCTCATAGACTTGAGCAGGGCAGTGGTATTAGACTTGGATTACCAGGGTAGGGCACTACCTGGAGGTCAGGGTCTCTGACTAGAGTATCACTTATACGTTTTATAAGATGTTGAGGATCCTACCAGTACAAGAGACAGTTAGCTGTGGTTGCAATGACCACTTATCCGGAGCCACTTGAACCAGCTATGCGGGCGGGTAGATCTGGGTAATAAGTGCTGGTACATTAAGCAGGTTAACAGTTGTCTGGACCTCCAGGTAGGGGCCTGTCTTCGGCTTGGGATCTCCATCTCGCCCACCCCAAGCCCTCCCAGAGGCCTCGTCAGAATCGCATTTGGTCCTGCCAGCTTCACCAGTCCCTAGAGACCCCCCCCTTATGTAGGGTCGTTTGACTGAAAGACGCTTGCTGTGACAGTTCATATTGGTAAATATGAGGGGGGCCTTGTAGGCTAAACAGAATAACAGATCAACAAATGGACAACAAAAGTCAACATGAAAGAGAAACCGCACAAAGGGTCCATGTAGCTGTATAGTATACACTTGAGACCTAAAGCATTTATGTGGCCCTAGCCATAAGCCCTAAACCACAAAAACACATCTTTAATTACGTGGACTGTTTTGGACTCTGGAGCTTCAAATACTCTGACATGCCGAGCATTGCGCACTCAGCCATTTGAGCAGACCTGCATGGAATAGATCACCGCGGACACCTGATGCCCATTCCATAACTCATGTTCTCTCCATTTGAGCCTAGTCTAAACTCCTAGTTTCCCCCTTAATAACCCCTATAATCATCCACTATATACTCCCCTATATAGCCACCCTTTAAGGAGCTTAGACTGTAGCTTTTAGATTCTGCATCATGCTGTAGTCCCATTTCCCATTACCCTAAAATCCATGCCAGGCCCCTCCTTGCCCCTCTAAAAAGGGGTATGCGGTCTCTATTTCAGGCATATACCCCCTCATATGAACACCCTCCCCCCCTATTATTAAATACTCCCCAATGCGGTAGGTCAGAATATGTTGGGAGTCCTTCATATTAGGGGGGGGTGGCGGGGCTTAATATTAGGGGGAGGGGATTAATCTCTGTGCGTCAGCTTGACCCTTGCCACTTCTACATCGTGGCGATACATCGAAGTGCTGCCAAAGCTTGTCTAACCTTACCCCTGAGGGCCCAGTATACAAGAAACATATGATTTAAGGTTCTTATACTAGCAATCTTCTGCTAGGTTTTGGGGAGTCTATGATAGCTGTACACTTTGGGGTAGAGATCTTCGGACAGACAACCCCGAACGGGCTTCCAAGGACCTGACAATTACATACTTCCCTCACACCTAAATGACAGTTACTATGACCAAAGCCCCAAAT